GTTCAAACCTCAAACTTCTGTGTCGGTCTCCCTCTGCATCCTTCCCCTTCCAACTTTCTCACTGTCACGGTCAACTCTAGTTTTATCTTTCTCATGACATGACAAAAGATTGCAGATTGTCTCCGTCTGATGTTGGCCGCCAGGTCTCTTCGTGGGCCAGTATCTTTCGAGACATCGTCATTATTCATTGCCCCTTTTATCTGTCTAGGATGTTCTTATCATTCAACTATAAAAACCGCATCCGCTGCTTCCAAATAATTTTTCACTAATTGGCCGACTGTCCAAGATTCACTTCTGTATACCAGGATAGGATTTATATAGCTCTTGATAATTATTTTTCTTGTCTCCGTTGACAAAGATTGCATAGAACATTATTTAGCTTGTAAAATGCTGCTTCTGCTTGCGCTAGTCTGCATTTAACTTCTTTAATACATTTTCAATCTGATGTTGTCAGGCAACCCAAGTACTTAAATGTATAAACTTGCTTGACTATTGTCCCATTAACTTTGATACTGCATTTTGAAGAATGCATTGTTTTTTTTTTTCTTTTGTAATTACCATTACTTGATCACTACCTATCTACATTGCAACCCAAAATGAATCATGGACAGCCAAACAGCCTGCTTAGTAAACAATGGTTACAGATAAAGTATATAGTTTTACAGGCGAAATTAAAGAACCAGAGTGGATAAATAGAATGTGTAGTTAAGATGTCTTCTTTTTATATATATATATATATATATATATATATATATATATATATATATATATATATATATATATATATATATATATATATATATATGTGTGTGTGTGTGTGTGTGTGTCTCTGTGTGTGTGTGTGTGTGTGTGTATTTATATATTCAAAGAAGGTGCCTTTTCTGCATGCCACAACCTTTCTGGGGCTAATAGCAGCCCTAAAACTGTGATGTATTACCGTCAATTCCAGCTGGTCATGCAGTTCACATGAAAGAAACTTATGAAAACAGTAGGCAGCTTTTGAAGTGTATAAACTACGAGCATTATCATTAGTCACTTTGCGACGATTTAAAAGTGGTCGTTCTTTTGCTTGGACTACAGGGTGTGAATACTAAGTACTGCTGCTTTCTCTGTGAATGGGATAGTCGTGCGCAATGGGAAACTGACATGACCAAACAGGCGGCCATTGCAGACTGGCAGTAAGAATTTCGAAAACCCACACTTGTCGACACCTGCAAGATTGTACTGTTATCGTTGCACATTAAGCTGGGTCTCATGATAAACTTTGTCAAGGCCATAGACAAAAAAAAAACAGTTGATGCTTTCAAATATCTCATCAGAAATATTCCAAGACTAAGTGAAGCTAAAAAAAAGTAGGGGAATATTAATTGGTCCGCAAATTCGAAAACTTCACAATGAGAAGTTTCTTTGCGTGTTGCATAACAATGATAAAACAGCATGTCTGCCGTTGAAGACAGAGGTGGACAATTTCCTTGGGAACAACAGATCTGATAATTCAAATGAGATTGTAGAAAATCTTCTTCTGAAGTATGAGAGTTCTGGCTGCAACATGTCTTTAAAAATCAATTTTCTTCATTTTTTTATTTGGATTTTTTTACGTCAAACTGTGGATCTGTCAGTGATGAGTATAGTGAACGATTACGTCGGGACATAGCGGCTGTGGAGACTAGGTTTCAAGGCAATTGGAGCCGTTTGGTTCTTGCTGATTGCTGCTAGACTGTGACAAGAGACACCTCATCTACTGACTACAAGAAGCAAGCAAAGAGAGCTCGAACAGAGATTAGATAAGGACGGAAAAGGTTCAAATGTGTTTCTTTTTGAAACATGAAATTCGAACTTTAAATATTTCTCGTTTATTCTTTTCATCATTGTATGTAAAAGTTTATATTAACTGAGTATGCAACAACAATACATTTTAAGATAAAATAGAAAGACCAACTGTTTACTCCAGGGATTTAAAAAAGCATACATTCTTTGTAATACTAAAATGTAAATTCGTCACTAAAAACAAAAACAAAAGAAACTACAGCCAGTTGGTAAATTTCATTTTGATATTTGAAATCATCTTGTCAAAATCAATCAGAAATGAAATATTTAAATCCTAGTAGAAAATCTTTCGAAAATATCTTGACCAGTGTAATGATTCTACGTAACGTCTCTTGGGCTCTACCCGGTTTTTTTTAATTCCCTTCCGGTGTCTATATGAGCGCTTGATGAGGGATGTCTTGTCTTATCCGTTCTGAGAGCAAAGCCGATGTAGTTCCAGCGGCGCTTTCTTATAAAATTGAATACATTTTCTTTCTTGTCATTTGGCATTATAGCATAAATAAACGTATATACCAGATTGACAGTACACAAGGTACACGATTATAGACAGGTATATTTAACGAACGCCACATGGTATGATCTACAAGAAGAAGACAAACCACACAGACTGAACCGGAAATAACATTGTTAGTTCAATCTCAAATACATTAACCTGTCTTTTCTTTTCATTATCAGAATATTTTGGTCTGCTACTTGAGGTTTCCCACTTCCGTTCTAAATTGTCGTCTGCCGCTGGTCGTTAAATTTCCCCATTATGACAATTTGCTTCCTTTTGTAAATATTGAATGCTTAAATAAATGTTTGGATGCGTTTTCAAGGTAGACACACAAAAACGGGACAGAAGTAATATTCTACACGGCGAAATTGGTTGAACGAAAAATCTCTTAGGTTTTCCCCTCCATTTTATTTAATGTAATTCTCTTTGATTCGTGAGTTGGGTCAAAATGACACGGACCTACAAACAGATCTAGCCAGAAAAGGGTATCATTAAAATTATGGCCTCTCAAATAGACACAACCGGAATTGGGTGTCAGGAAAATTACAAGGAAGTAAATACTGCTGACGTGTCTTGGACTTTTGTGTATCGAGGGGTCTATGAAAATGTACGCCCCCTATCATATGTCAGCTTCGTAATGCCTGGATGCCAGGTTCGATCCTAGCTGCGGACCATGCGCCCTGCGTTGGTTTAGACAGTGGTATCAAGAAAGCCGACCGTCCAGAGGGCAATGGTATTTGCCTAGAAAAACCACACAACAGCCAGACGCTGTTGGGGTTGGTTCTGCAACGTCCTGTAAAGGATACGCAACTAACCTTATCATATGTCCGGGAGTCGCCGTGGCGTAGCTGCTAGACGCTCGTGTGCGGATCGGAAGGTCGAGGGTTCGCTACCTGGCGGAGCCGGACTTTTTTTTAAGGATCTTGACTCCCAGGTCGACCCAGCCTTGAGTGAGTATGCCCATTACAACAACTACATGAAAGGAGTTCTTTTATGTTTCACGCGTCGTTTGGTACTTTAGTTTTTATTCACCGCAAACAAACCTGATAGCTATATTTAGGGTAGTTAAATTAAGCACATGTTAGGGGTAGGGGTAAATTTATTGTTAGCGTTTTGGGTTAGGGTCCGGGTTAGCAACACCAAAAAGATAGGAAATAAACTGGGGGAAACCCGTTATGTCACGTGATGTGTTTGGACTATCCCGGAAACTCCCTGATTTCTTTTGTTGGGGGTGAATTAAAATAGAAGTTCCGTCGTTGTAATGCATACTTATAGCTTGTTCAATTTTTTTTTAATAATGCTAAATATACTTTCATGTTGATCAATCGTCATTTATTGTTAGTTTTAAAAAAAAAATCTTATAGCAGTCTTTTTATTCTTGGCGTTCAATGGCTGTGAATTTAGGCGGAAAGCTCTGGTTTTTTGTCCGCCTCTGAACTTTAGTCTTATTCGAGAACCCGAGTGTTGTGTGCACATCCGTTTTAAAGATCTGACATTTTTATGCAGACTTTTAGTTCCTTATCTCCCAGGCAGATGAGCTCCGACTTCGAAGGAAACCCCCAGTTAGTCTACTCATAAAACAAGCTTATTGGTGAGACTGTGGGTTCGTTCTTGTTCTTCCCACAATGGGTTCCCGGGAACCACACAGATAGATGTATTTTCAGTTACCCTATTGAAAGCCGGTCTAGGGTTACGAACGCAATTCGTAATGCCGGGGTGCCTGATTCGATCCTCTAGCGGACAGTGGGTCTATTCTTGTTTTCCCCTAATGGGGTTCTGTGGCTTGTAGGAAAGCCATCGTAGTGTAATGGCTAGTCACTCGTCTGTGGATCTGAAGACCGTGGGTCCAAATCCGAAAGGAGCAGGGCTTTTATTAAAAACAGACCATGGCTCCCAGCTCGAACCTGGCCTAAATGGGTACTAAATAATTTTCTAGGAAGTAAAAGCGGTCGGTGTGATGTTGACCCACAGAGTGTCAATTGGTCTATAAAATATGAGTCTAGAACTATTTTTACTGTGATTTAAAGGTTGGTGACCGTGTTTCATCATCTTTGACTTGCTACTATGGAATTTCGCTCCTCGCTCAAAATTATAAAGCCTGCACACATGTCTAATTGTGTCTTTGGCCTGCGCCATCCAAGACCGCCCTCATTTCAGTCAGTGACACTTAGCTCTACCCAGGGCTTCACGCAAGAGGTGCTTCTTGTCTGCAGCTAATCTGAGATATGACTTTGCCTACAGAACTCTGAGCCTATCTGCAATAGTAGTCTGTGTAGCTGTGTAGCCTGTATTAATATTATACTGCTTTTCTGTAGTGCATCGTTTACTCCCTTAACTCATCTCTTTCTGGATCGGTCTCTTGCCTTGTAGCATGCTGTTCCCGTGTGGTATACTCTAGCTGCTGGTTGACTTTGTTCCACTCTGACTACGTGACCAAATCATTTGATTCTTTGCTGTTCTGTGAAAATCGTGCACCGGTACTGTGCCTTTCACTGTTTCTTGTTCTTCGCTGTTGATTCTGTCTCTTTTTTTTTTCCCTGCTGCAATTCTTATACATCTCATTTGACATGTTGTATTTTGCTATTATGTTTTTGTTTTTCTAGGACTGTCACTGTCCTGTAATGATATCACAAAGCTGGTGTTATAATTTCTAGGCGATATCCTCGCTGGTTCAAAGATGGAGAACTCCAACAAGGCCTCATTCCAATGGCAAGACTACCTGGTATTTAGCATTATGCTGGTCATCTCTTCTGTTATTGGATTGTACTTTGGAATCAAGGCCAAGAGACGGAAAGCTAGTGCAGACGAGATGTTAACAGGTACTATTTGTTCTTTCTGATATGCTTTAATGATGTTATGCATTTTAAGTTCCAATGTTATTTCACTTCTAAAATATGCTATTCTTCTTCTTTTTTTCGTTCTCTGAGTTAGTGGTTTTCAGATGAGAAGCCTATATAAAGTCTGTGTGTGGTGCATGTCTTTTACTGTTCCATAGAGCCTGGTTTCTTTTAGAGTACCAACCACCCAAACCTGTAATCTCTCTACTGCGTGTAAAGAGTGTTTGTTTGCAGGACATATGACAGCAATAGTTGGAGAACCACAAAAGACATGGACATACAGTTAAATGATTTGAAAACAACTGTGTGAGGAAAATGATCAATTTTAAGCAGGAGGAATTCAAGAAGGGGGAGAAATACTAGACAACCGCTACCATCAACTATTTTAAGACAAAGAAGCGGTCGTATATTGGTCATTTACTGGGGTTTATTGTTTGGTTTGGAAAGCTGAAAGTGGAGACAGTCATTCTATGGATCGCTCTGACATTATTAGTGCTCTTATATAGAGCAGGGGATTTGAATATCTTACCCTCAATAACAGACGATGATTGGTCAGACTGAGAGTGTATTTACAGTTTTTATTTGTTAATCTTCGTCATCCCCTTGTGGGATACACCTTTTTTCTTATTTTGAAGCCCAATCCTGGCTGTTGCATGGGGGCCCAATATAACCTAACGGTTAAACGCTGTCTCTGATATGGCCTAACCACTGAATGGGGTGTCCGGGACCTCTCCACATGTGATCCTCATCCGCATGGTGGCACTTTGTGTCACCCGGTGTTTATCGTTCTGTGTGATGTCCTGGTGAGGTAAAATTTACTTACTTTTGTTTATTTATTTTTTAAACGGTACAATCTCCATAATTTTAAACCGACATGTGAAATGAAAAAGTAAAGAACCTAATTGAAAAAAAAAAAAATCACTAAACCGGTAGTTGAATGGGAAACAAATGGATTGAGAAAACCAAGAAAAAGGCCGTGAGGCGAACTTCTAAGAGAGAAATCAAGGTAGCTGGACTTGACTCCATCAATCTATTGAAACAATTGTTCGGGACAGAAGGTAATGAAAGGTTCAGCTGTGGGCACTATCTGACAAATAGCGGCATTGCAGGCTGAGGGTGGGGATGATGATGATTATGAAATGCTCTAATGAATATTATATAGGTTTAGCCCTATATGCCCAAAACACATGAAGGCGTGTAAAGAGCCTTTACTTTACTGTACCTACTTATAGTGGATATTACCAGCATGTCGATTTCATTTAAGAAATTTGTTTTTCCCGTTGATCAACAGTACATGCCAGCGGAAAGTCAATGTGCCTTACGCAGTCTTGAACAGTCTGTCACAGAAGTTACTTGGCTCTGAAGCTTCCTGCTCCACTCATACACTTGTTGTGTTTCCCGTGTGGGTTCCGGGGCCCTATTATAGGGAAAACAAGAATAGACCCACTGCCTACCCAAAAGTATGTCGTAAGAGTCGACTAATTGGGAGCTTCCTTCGAAGTCAAAGTGCATCTGCCTGAGAGACAGGGAACCAGCAGTCTACATACAGATGAGTTAGATCTGTAAAACGGATACACACGCAACACTCAGGTTCTGGGACAGGACTGCAGTACAGAAGTGGACGAACAACCAGAACTTTCCCCCAGAGTTTACAGCTGGTGAACGCGAAGAAGACAAAGAAGAAGAATACATTTGCTGGGCTGACATACATGCATCACCACACGGGAATTTCATTCACCGATCAGTTTCTATAGTTTTCACTAAATGGATAACGGAACGCTGCTGCTCTGTGGTGTATGTCAAGAGTAGGGTGGTCATCAGTAAAATGTCATTTTGACATCACCGTGTTCGTCTGCACTGTGATGCCATGTACTTAACACTCTTGACACCTTTAGCAACAATATTCAGATGGCATGCTTATTATAATTTCTTTCACAATTTTTAAGTTTTATTTCTATCTATTGTCTTCTTCACTTTTACCGGGTTGCAGCCCAGTGTCGTGGTTTAAAATATTTGTTTTGTGCTTCTCGCGTGATTTGAGTTACAGTTTTCTTGATCTTTTGGCCGTATTCAGCTACTCCATCTATCCATTTTGTCCTGGGTCTTCCTCTGGCCTTTCTACCCGATGTTCTGCTGTAAAAGGCCTTATAGGCAATTTGATCTGGTTGCATTCTTACTATATGGCCAAACCACTTCATTCTCTGTCTTTCAATATGTTTCATGCATGCTCTTGTTCCAACTTTGTCTCTAATGCTGTCGTTTGTGACTCTGTCTCTTCGTGTATTGTTGGTGACTCTTCGGAGACATCACATTTCAGACGTAGTTTTTTTTTTTTTTTTGCATATGTGATTTGTTCATTGTCCACGTTTGGTATTGATAATATAACGTAGGGATGAAAATGCTGTTGATCATCCGTTGTTTGGCTGGTAACGAGATCTTTGGATGACGAAGAAGTGGGGCCAGTTGGTAGTTGTCTGCATTGGCTTTTTGAACTCTAGCCTGTATCTCTTTATCCAGTCTTCCGTCTTCTGTAAATATGCATTCTAAGTGCTGTGTTTCTTTCCTATGGTCATTACTTCAGTTTTTGAGGTGTTTATTTTCATGTCAAATTTTGTACAGTTAGTGAGCAATGAATCAACATGTTGTTGTAGTTTTTGTTCTTCTTCTAGTAACAAACATTGGTCATCTGCAAAGAGTAGTTTTATTTGAAGACTAATAAATTTGTCCCAGACCAAGCGGACATTGAATGCAGTAGAAGAGCAGACAGGTTGACAAGCTTGATCATAGTTGCAGACGGCCATTCTATGGATCGCGCCGATATTACTATGGCTCTTATGTAGAGCAGACGATTTGAATAATTTAGGTCAATGTCTCCGCATCGCCCGTAAAATTCGGGTATGGGATTCAATATCGGAAAAGCCAGGCACGAGATGCATACTTGATGTATAAGAGGTTCTGTCAGCCAGTATTGGTGTCACTGTTAACCGCGGCAGGCTGATCTACCTATGAATATACCAGGAATGATTGGCACCTTAACGTTTTTGCAAAAGATAGTGTAGTATTATGCTCTTTTAGAGCCATGAGAATGACAGCCGGTGGCGACTGCCCGTGTGAATTGCAAGGACAGTGTGTGCACAAAATGATGCGTCCCAGTGTCCGACGCACCTTTTGTTGTTGTTTAAAAGTCCCACCTCGGCTGTTGTCCGGGGCCCTAATCTAACCCAACGTATGGGTTGAACAGTCGGCTCTGTGGCTAAGTCGATGTGAACGCTTCGTAGTGCCGGGATGCCGGGTTCGATTCCAGCTGCGGGCCTTGCAATGGTTTCGACAGAGGTATCAGGAAAGCCGACCGTCCAGAGGCAATGACAAACTACTGGACGTAAATTTGCCTAGAAAAAACACACAACAGCCAGGCGTTGGTTCTGCAACGTCTTGTAAAGGATACGCAACCAACGATGGGTTGAACGGAAGTTCTGTGACATGACTCCGGGTGATACTCATGCGAATGGTGGAATTTCTTGTAACCGGGTGTTTATCGCTCGGTGTGATGTCCTGATGGGATTGAACGTCAGTCTATCAGTTGCAAGGCCCACTGACGTTGAGAATAGTCTTCCATAGTTAGATGATGTTTTTTAAGGACCGCTGTTGCCATCCCACTATTTAAGACGATTCTCAGACGCTTAACCAGTGGCCTAGCTGCTATAATGTTTTTTATTTATCCCTATTCTCCTCCCTATTTCCACATCAATACCGGTATCACTTATGTTCCGCTCGGACACAATTGTGCATCGTAACATTATTTTATGACTATGAAGTTCGTTCTTGATTTCTATCATAGGAAACAGAAATCTGCCGGTTCTACCCGTGGCCTTATCTTTGAGCGCCAGCTTTACGTCTGCTACCACCATCTTGGGAATACCAGGGGAGGTCTACTTGCGAGGAGGGGAGCAATGGCTTTGGTGCTTTGGGCTCGTTCTTTGCTTCTTGATTATTACTTGCTTCATGCTTCCTTTCTTCCACAAGCTGCAGTTGACCAACGCTTATGAGGTTAGTATCAATATCATTCATCTGCATGTTTAGAATGTAGTCTAGACCAATGATTTATGAATGTAATACATGGCAGAAGACTACTCACTAAACTTTTTTTAAACCCACCTTTTTGTTCTACTTCTTCTTCTTCTTCTTCTTTTTTTTTTTTATAACTGCTGTTGTTTGTACTACTTCTCGTTCTTTTTCTTGTTATTATTATAATTTATGTTATTGTTATAATAATAATTATTATTATTATTATCGTCGTCTCCTTTTTCCTCTTATTATTATTATTATTCTCTTCTTCTACTTCTTCTTCTTCTTCTTCTTCTTCTTCTTCTTCTTCTTCTTCTTCTTCTTCTTCTTCTTCTTCTTCTTCTTCTTCTTCTTCTTCTTCTTCTTCTTCTGTTGAAGTTGCTGCTGCTGCTGCTGCTCTCTTTTATTTCCCAATAAAGTTTGCCATCTCCCAGCTCATGATTTGTTAGATTACGTAGCTAGTCTATCTAATGGATGACGTAACTAACATGTGTGCCATCAAAACATTTCACTGACGGCTTTTACTCGTAGGTTGCAGTCTTTTTGTTAGCTGTTTCCTTCATTGTCCTGTTTCGCCATTCTATGTCACATAGGACTCTTAAGTGTATTTCTCTATTCTGTTCTAACCTGTGCAACCACCTCGATATCATAGATGGAATCCAGGGCAGCATCTTTGGCTTCTCTCGTCAACGTTCGCTTTATGGTTTCTCTTGGACGTCAACGTTTCCTCAATCCTTGTTTTTCTCATCCAATGCCTGTCTGGTGATTCTCTGTTCGTTTCATCTTTTCTGTCATGGGAATGGCTGTGGCGGAGCGGCCAGACGCTCGCCTGCGAATCGGAAGGTCGTGTGTTCGCTCCCTGGCAGAGCCAGACTTATCTTAAAAAATGACTTTGGCTCCCAGGTCGACCAAACATCGAGTAGGTACCGGGAGCAGTCCTGGGAAATAGAGGCGGCCGGCATGATGCTGTCCACATCACCCATCTTGGGCCGATTGGTCTATAAAATATAGGTCTAGACATGCATGACCTATACACCTAAAGGCGTGGAAAATGGTTCTTAACTCTACTTATCTGTCTTATAATTATTGACTTTTGTTTTGTTTTTCTGGTTGCTCAGATATTTCTCTTATTTCTTCCCCTCTCTTGATTTCATTATATTGTATGTTCAATAATTTCCTCAGGCATTTGGCTTTGAATGTATTTAATTTTCTGTCAATCTAGTAGTTCTCCAACATCTATGTTAAAACTGAAATAACAAGAGTTTTGAAAATACGCAACATAGTTCAGAAACTATATAATTTAGAATAAAATTAAATTATTATAATATGAATTGTTACTCCCAGGTCATTTATTATTATTTTTTTTTTTTTCAGTATCTCGAAATCCGATTCCACAAGGTGATCAGATATATGGGATCAATCGCTTTCTCTGTGATTATTGTAAGTTTTTTTTTTAATTCTTAGTTATAATGTATTAACAGCGATAAGGCCAGCGTCTGTGGCTTAGGCTTTTGGACGAGCTTCGTAATGCCGGGGTGCTGGGTTCGATCCCACCTGCGTACGGTTTGTCCTGCAATGGTTTCGCCAGTGGTACCGAGAGCTGACTGTTCAGTAGGCAGTGGCAAACCAATGAACGTAAAACGTACCTAGAAAAACCACGACAGCTAAACAATGCTGGGGTTGGTTCTGCAACGTCCTGGAAAGGATAAACAACTTGTTTAACAGCAAGAAAAGGTATAGGGAATGAGGTAGAACTATATGGAAACGACGTGGAGCGTACTGCAGCCCAATCCAAATAATGGAAGGAGGGGGGGGGGGGCGGCAAAGATATGACCACGTTCAACCTTTGATTATTATAGTGCATAAAAATACAATAAATACAATAAATACAAAAATAAAATACAATGCATAGTTTACTGGGTTACAAAAAATGAGATTCCTAAGAGCATGCATCTTTTCCATTGCAACATCCTGGGTAAAGAAAAGAACAAATGCATCCATACTTCAAAAAGTGAATATTGAAGAAGTTTGGCTATTAAAGGCGATAAAACGTGGATAATTTAAATATTTTGGTCACTTGAAACGTCACGAGAGTTTAGAGAGAACAATAATGTAGGGGTATATGCCTGGGAAGAGAGGAAGAGGAAGGCCAAAGACAAGATGGGTGCAGGATGTTGCGTTTGATCTCCATATGAGTGTATCTGATGCGGGACATCTTGTCTGTGATCGAGAATCGTTCTGGAAGGTTGTTATGATCGCAAGGTTCTGCAAAGAACATGCTGCTGACTGACTGACTGACTGACTGACTGACTGACTGACTGACTGACTGACTGACTGACTGACTGACTGACTGACTGACTGACTGACTGACTGACTGACTGACTGACTGACTGACTAACTGACTGACTCTGTGCTAACGGCTGAATTGTTGGTACCAGTGGTATTGGCTGTCGTGTCCTTTTTGTTTTTCTCCTTGTTTGTCTGGACCTTTTTTAACATGTCCATCCTACCGATGGTGCTTGCCTGATTATGTTAACTATATGGCAGGTTTTGTTTTTTATATTCTGTTGTATGGTTTGGTGTCATCGGCTGTCTCTGTCTCTCTCTCTCTCTCTCTCTCTCTGTCTCTCTCTCTGTCTCTCTCTCTCTCTCTCTCTCTCTCTCTCTCTCTCTCTCTCTCTCTCTCTCTCTCTCTCTCTCTCTCTCTCATTATTGTATTTTTATGTCCTTTTGTTAGACGCTGGGGGATATTCCTTTTTGGTCAGGCCTCTGCTGAACGCGATGGCAAAGGATATGAAGACCTGGTCCAAATTGGCTCAGGGCCTCTGCTACATTGGGGGATAGTGACAGCATAAAAAGATACTTTAAAAAAATCGCAAGATAAGATACTTATTTAAAAAAAAAAAAAATTCGCTTGATTCATTTCTGGATCACCTTTATATTGTTGTCGTCGTTACTGTTGCTGTTATTCGTCCATCAGAAGTGTTGATGGCAAGTCCTCTCATCCAGTAATGGTAGAGTGTGGTTTTTGGGTGCCCTGCGGACTGATAAACACAGTCAAGGCCAGGAATGTTCACTAGCAATGTGGACAGGGAATTTAAGCCGCATCATTTTATGGGATTCAGTTCACTGCTTCTTCTTCTTCTTCTTTTTCTTCTTCTTTTTCTTCTTCTTCTTCTTCTTTTTCTTCTTCTTCTTTCGTTCGCTTAAAATATATAATCTATATCTGTGATGCTGTCTCTAGTATGACTAGCTCACTTCTTCTGCTTCTTAGC